GTAACGAGCAACGTACTTAGTTAATTTCAAGGCCTAGTAACGTGTGACGGAATGGCGTTACTTTTGAGGAATAACCTATACAACACTATCTAAACGGTCCTGTTTTAATTCTAACCTATAGTGTGTTGCAACTCAAGAAGGTAGGGCGAGGTTAAGACGGAGCGGGGAGGAGGAAGCAGACGGAACGCTAAAGCGAGAAGGAGGTTTCCTCCTCTGTTCTCCAGCGTTCCGTCTGCTTTCTCCTCCCCGGCCCTTCTTACCCTCGCCCTACCTTCTTGAGTTGCAACGGACTATAGGTATGCGTCTGTAGCGACAAAGGCAGTTGGGCAATCCAAAACACAACTCTACAGCTGGGAATGCCCTTCACCTAGCGAACACAGTAAGGTTCGTCGGTTGAGTCCTATAGAATCATGTACATACTCGATGTAAAACCGGAGGTTGCACACACCAAACACGGAAAGGCACAGAATCCATTGCCAACTTGGAACTTTAGAACCAGAGGGTACAAAAAAAGAGGGGGGAATCCTAGATTCACCATCTCTTCCTGGAGCACTGCACTGGCGTTCCTTCGAGCGCGTGAGTAGAACGACTCTTCCGCGTCGCCTAAGTTTTATTCTCAAGGAATCGGAGAAACGTAACTGATGTAAAACTTCGAGAGGCAGCTACTGCTTAAGGGCCGAATTAGCGATTTGTCACAATCTCGGGGGCCGAAAAAAAAAAAGAAGAGTAACCATAAACGAGGGGAAAGTAAATAAATAAAACTAAATAAGCATATAGACACGAACATAAATGTTAGATTAACCTATAAAGAAACCCTAAGTGGGTTAAATAGCTATGATTGCGATTGAGATGTAATATTTAGCGACTTATTGCATTACACAACGCGCGTGGCCAAGAAAACTCCCCAGTGGTTAATCAAAACGCATAGCTACTTCGGGGCATTCACGCAGTACAAGAGACTAATTACAAGGATAACATTAATGCTGACAATGTGGAATCGCCGCGACGTATACATGCATAGTGCAATGTACACGAGAATGCAATGGAATCTTGACATAGCTATGCAGACCTGAAGGGACTCAGAATGGTAATGCTTGTGATGACAGTGTTCCATAATTAATATGGCGAGAGGATCCGCGTTATGATGATGCAGTTTCTCTCATCTTTCTGGTATCTTAGTTTGCGCATTTGGAGCGCGCCGCGGCGCCGTTTCTTTACGGGACGTTTTTTTGCACCGCTAGCAGCGGGTCTTTCTGGAAGCGGGCCGCAGTCCAAGGTCCATCGGAAAGACCGCGGCCAGCCGTGGGTCGGTCGGTCGGAAGATCTCCGCGAGTTGAATCTGGCTCGCGGGCTGGGGTTTGGAAACCCGCTGCTTTGGACAGATACCGGGCAGCAGAGAGCTTCGCCGCATTCCCCGCGGCCAATCGCTGCTCATATTTTTCCCCAAGCCAAGTTCGATACCTGAATCCACGGGACAAGATGCTACAGAAGTTCGCTCTTGACTCGGATTTCTCGAAAATTGCTTCAGCGTCCCTCGAAGTCGGAGTCAGGCTGCAGCACAAAACAGAAACACGGTTTTGTCGCAGATTTGATGCCAGGATTACCTCCGGACACACCTCACTAATGTTGGAAGCATGTTTTCCATTTGGACGCTTATGTCCATAAAAGGCTTTTTTTTCTTTTTTTTAATGCGAATGATGGTGAGGGAATGGCCATATCCGGGTACGAAACACACATCAGACGTTGTCTGTAGTCTGTTTTTTGAATAATGTATTGGCGGTAACGACCAACGGCTTTACGGAATACAGATTGGCTTCGAGCATCGCTGTCATTTATTTAATTTGATGGACACCCATGAGCGATATGAAGGTGAACAGCCCTCTTCTTGTTTTTGACGCTCCTGCAAGTTTCGGGACAAGCTCTGTTCCAGAAGAGGGCTACAACGCAAAGTTTAGTCCCCAAGCCATGTACCATTTGAGACGTTGAGAGTTAATATAGCTTTAGGGAGCCGTAAAAGAGGCAAGAAACCAGGTAAGGTGTTCACCTTCCTATTGTCGGCAAGGGTAAAAGCGGGAGACACGAGTGGACGGGTGGGCTTCGTTGAAGTCGTCGGTTCATTTTACTGCCTCTGACGGCTTAAAAAAAAAAAAAAAATAGGGGCTTGGCTTATCGCGATCACGCCTCTTGGTCCGTGATTGGTTCTGCGGATTGATATTAATTAGATGCCATTTGGGTCGAAACGCCCGCCGCTTCGTAAGCATGTTTAGCGACGTTGTGCGACCCAGAAGCGTCGCTGTGGTCGCCGTTCGTGATTGGCCAAGCCCGTATAGCTTTCCGTATATACCGGTAATGCCTGCCCAATCGTCGGTTCACGGCGAGAGGCAAATGCTGCCAATCCCGGCGAGGCGATTTCCGGTCGCGACGACATCGAACGAAAACCGTTTGAGGGAGCCACCGAAACAGCTCGGCGCAAATAGCAGTCCGGGTTCCTGATGGGTCCATGCCACGCGAATGTGTTGTCTATGCCTCGTTTATGAAGGATGGGCAAAGTTTAGACTGATTTAAGAAGAGACGGTATTCTAAAAACTCCCGAAAAGATGTTTACGTATGTTTCTCTCTATTTTGTTTTTCCCACGCACGTGCCGCTCACCTGTGCGTAATGATTTTAACTTAAACTCGAAGATGTAAAGTTTTGAGTATGACCCGAAGGAGTTTAGAAGAAGCGTTGCCGTCAGTGGCTTTGTCTAAAATTATGGGTGTTTACTTGTGCTGTCCCCTTTTTTTCTTCTCTTGGTTACTTCTCTTTTCTCGGGGATATAAGTCCAAAACCACTGACTTTATGATGTCGGTGGGGGGTCTATTTCTTAGAGTCGACGTCGAGAGTGGGAAGGCGAAAGGTGGCTTTATGTCGGCATTTTTTAGGCTGTCAACGTAATTATAATTGAATATTTAAGGTGTTTTATAACATTATCAATACCCGAGAGAATGTGTATACCACAAAACATCGGGATTCAGACACCGCGTCAAACCTAAATGCTAAAAATTACGCAGCAGCAGGTTAGTGGCAGCACTCACAAACGTCTGCGAGCGTGTGCTGCCATGTGCAATATATACGAAAGAGCATGTACAGGCCGGCGGCAGGATACACGAGAAATTTATCAACAAAAAGAAAAACGCATTGACTTTCCACTTTTTTTTCGTTCCTCTCAAGTTTATCGAACAGGCATTCCAGATGTTGTGCTCGGGGTTCAGCGTCAGCAATAACAGTTGGACTCAACAAAAAAACAAAAAAGTGCCCTATTTTTTATGAAAATCTCATCACGTGACGCGTGTGGCGAACGACGAATAAGGATGAAAAAAAGGCCATTAAACTGTGCTCCGAGCCAGCCATATCGCCTGTCGTACCGGTATTCGCCCACTGTATCATCACTGCTGGTGTGGGAGCCGCAGTGTCGCCGACTTCAACAGAACGTTCACGGAGACTCGGTAAGCAACCTGATAATCTTCGCGCAGTGTACCACCACCTTTGTTTTTTGGTTTTGGTATGCGAACGCAAAACGTCAGACACGGACGCGCTGTCCGCGTCTGACGTGTTTTTGTGTGTTCCTTTTCTCCTTTCACGTTCGCATACCAAGGTGTTTCATCAAAACGCTATAATAATTTTACCTTTGTATTTTAAGCGGTCGGCAGGAAAGGCTGAGTAACTTCCAACTTAAAATTGAAGTCACTTTGCGGAGGTAGTCATCAAACGGAAGCATTGAATTCAGTCAAGTTAGCGCAGTGATTGCGAAAAAAAAAAAAAACGAGAAAAACATGACGAAAAGAAGTGCCATACTTCGCGTCCCCCTTTTAGTCCGGCCGCAGACGACGCTATACAACCTAATGGAGCCAATCAAGTAGCAACGAAAGTGCATCGTCACGGCGTTCGTCGCATTTGTATGTTTCCTATAGACCTTTGCAAAAATCGCCTCCTGCGCGCCGCCATCTTTGTCTGCTGTGCTGTGGAACGCATTTTGAGCATGCGTTGTTGCTCTGATGTGGGGTATATCAAACGTTGCGCATGCGTCTACAGCTCAGTGACTCAACATTTTTCGCCCAGGTGATAACTGATGCAAAGGTCGATACCGTCGGATGCATGCCTCATTCGCATTGGCGAAGCAACCGCCTTCGCAATCGCTAAGCGATTGCGAAGGCGGTTGCTTAAAGTTTTAGCGCAGTTTCGCGCATTTGATAATGTAGACGAGCGGAATCGCTTTGTGGTTGCCATGGGAACGTTAGCGTGAATGCAGAATTAACGTAAAGAGGAGTGTATATAGACCGAAACGCTGTGTACAAACAAGCCCGCGTTTGCCCACACCAGGTGGGGGCACTGCGCGTGCGCGCAAACCGAATTCGCATGAAGTGAAACGCCTGCGCATGCGCAGTTCCGTGGACAGCGCCACCGCTGCTGCGTGACGTCCGGGTCGCCTGTTGGTGTATACACAGTGCTTATTCTCATATGACTTGAGAACACCCTCAGAAGCCTCTGCACCTATTGAACCCCGCAATGCGGTCGGGACGTCACTCATGAGATGTAGATTCAATTAGTTTAAACAAAGGGGTATGTGTGAGAGGTATCGTGCAACAGTGGCTTGCAGTTGTGTCCATAGGGACATCCACTGGTATTGTAACCGAGATAGCACGGCCACTGGAGCATCGTATTGCTCTCCCTCCTCGTTCATTGTACGTGATTAAAAGCAGGGCAAACTACTAGCGTTGAAGGCGCGCATCGTGTGCACAGCACACCCCGACACCTCTGAAGGTGCATCGTATTATAGCTAGTGACACATCATGCTTGCACATGCCGTATATGAGCAGATTGCCCACAGAGAGCAAAGAAGATGACTCTTTCGAGTACAGCGTGAATCCGACGAAACTGTCCTCCAAGTTAATGTCTCGTGGCACTCAATTCTTAATTACTATTCAAAGCTTCTGTTTTCCAATTTTTTTCAGACAACAGCATGCCGAGACAATTGTTCAAGAACGTTGACGGCTTCTACGTCTTCTCAGCCTACTCGGAGGAATGGGTTCGCTCGGCACTGCGCTACAAGCCGGTGCCGGAAGACGTGTTCATCGTCAGCTATCCAAAATCTGGCACCACCTGGATGCAGCACATTGTATACAACATCTTCAACGGCCGTAGTCCTCCGGCCCACCCCTTGGACGCCAGCCGCGAGATGCCCTTTCTGGAGTTGCAAGGCCCCGATTCCGTCAAGGAGATGCCGAGACCGGGGGTTATCAAAACGCACATGCCCTTTGGCTCCCAACCTTACTCTTTGCACGCCAAATACATCTACATCTGCAGGAACCCATACGACTGCTGTGTGTCATTCTTCTACCACACGAAAGGTTTGGCGGCGTTTCAGTTTCAAGATGGCACGTTCGACGAGTTCTTCGAGCTGTTCCTCAATGGGAAGCCGGACTTCTCGGACTACTTCGAACATCTGCTCTCCTGGTACGAGCACCGACACGACCCCAATGTCCTCTTCTTAACGTACGAGGACCTGAAGAAGGACACCAGGGCATGGGTGCTCAAGATCGCGGATTTCCTTGGAAACGAATATGGTACAAGACTTCGGGCGGAACAAGGGCTACTGGAAGGCATCTTGAACAGGACAAGTTTCAAAAATATGAAAGTCCTGAATGCAACTATACAAGAGGATCTCGTAAAAGTGGCCAATCTAGCCGAAGACGAACTGCCAAACTGGATGAAGGGCCTCGGGCACGACGCCGACATTGACAGAGTAGAGAAGCCACTGACTGAAGATACCTTTCGTAAGGGTAATGTTGGAGACTGGAGGAACCACTTTTCTGCTGATCAGGTTAAGCGCCTCAAGGAGCGCATTGAGTTGAGGACACGCGGTAGTGACGTCATGGATCTGTGGAAGGACAATGGGCTTCCGTGACCATTGATGCCTATAACTGCCATAAACAGAAACACCTTGTTTCTTCCTCCAAGATTTATTCAGGATACATATGCAATCTATGGTTTGAGGAAAAAGAAATAGTTTCCCTTATTGTTTGGGGGTCGCATGTTTTGCCAGTGATTAAAATGTTCAAGCAAGTGTTTGTTTGGTCCATTTTTAAATACTGCGTTGCCGCCTTGCTATAATTTTGGACGAGCGCAATACCCTCTCGTGCCTTTTAAGAGGTTGGGTGATAATTTATGAAGAAGGCCACGTAAGTGGACAAAGCAATTAAACACAAATAAACATATGTTAAAAGAATTCATGTGCGGCAAACATCCACACATTTATTCGCGATAAAATGGCAAAGCTCATTTAGATTCAAACCACAAGGCTAGTAGATTATTTAGGTTCTGTATTCATTGAATAAATACTACTTCATATTCCCTCCTAAAAGTGTTCATTTTAGTAGTAACGCCTGTTTAAAAGGCGTTACTGTAAAATAATGACTGGTGGAAAAAAGTACTGTTTATTGTTACAAACTTAGAACTCAACTGCCCTTCCCTCTAACGAATTCCCATCCCATATCTGTGCACACTTTAGCAGCACTCCGTTTTATACTGTACCTCGCCCACAGTTTTTGTCTACAAAGTTTTATTCTTGGTGACGTGAAAGTATTCGAGTACATCGATTTTCGGTTTGTTTCTAGACTGTACGGGAAAAAGTACGTTTCGACACATGTGATTGTCTTTTTGCGTCGAGTCGAGTCGCGCTGGAATTCGTTTCATAAAAAGAATGCACATGTGCTTCCGTTGTACGGAAAAAAGTACATCTCGTCACATGTGATTATCGTTTTCCGTCAATTTGAGTTGCGCCTCGAGTCGTTCCATAAAGAGAATGCACATGTGTTTCCGGCCCCTTCCTCTCCTGACTAAACAAAACGACTGACTTGCATGTTAGGCATTATTTCTACCTATACTTCGTCTCACCCTATGATGGACTAAAGACCAAAGCCATGGGCCGCCAGGCCCAATCACTTTCCACGCTAAACTATGACACGCTTAACATTGATAAGGGGTGGACGAATAATGCTCCGAATCCAAAAACACTGCGTCATTTCTCCAGCTTCGACACTGCAAACTACTGCAAACAGCCTGTACGTCGTGGCTTTTTTTGCAATGTAACATCGTTGAGTCATTCACTGCTCTTCAATTCTAACCACTCTCCGCCCATCCCCATGAGTGATCTGAGACGCGGGCACTGATACGTGCGTCAAAGCGCAATGCACGCAATATCTAAGTGGCTCGTGATAGAATCTAGAGGTCCGTAGCTTTTGCCTTTAGTCCATCGTAGGGTGAGACGAAGTATAGCTACTTTTATAGGTGGCAAAGTAATGACCTGATTTCTTTTTAAAGATCAGGTAACTTATTTTGTTACTTTTTGAGGGAGTAACCAGCAACGATATTTAGTTATTTCTAGAAGGGAACGCGTACAACGAAAGTATTCAAGCTAGTTTTCACCCCAGCTTGCGCCTGTAATTTGGACAACGAGAAAACGCTAGATGTACCATAAAAAGATGTGCGCGATGTACGTCAGTGTAGCCAACGTTGTCTCTGAATAAACGTGTTAAAAAAGCAAGGAATAATTAACGACGACAAATATTGGGAGTGGCTACTGCCCCAAGAAAACAAGACGTTCATAGTAGCGAGAGAAAAAAAATCGCGTTACTTTCAGGCTGAGAGCGTAACTTTCGAATCGCAATAACGAATAACGTATTTAATTACTCTTTGCGCGAGCAACGGTATTTTATTTATTAACGCTGTATAGTCACTTTATTTTAGTAAAGTGTACACATGTGCCAACCATTAGGAAAATGATTAAAACTGTTTTGCAACAATCGGCGATTAAGCAACGGTATGGTAGAAGACATGGTGGCCATTGATAATGAAGATACTGTACGTATAAGTCGCTCTAGACTGTAAGAAAAACGTCCGCGAGTTGACTTTCCTGCACGACTAGAATGAGCCAGTCACGGCGAACAACATCGAGATCCCAGAAAATAAAAAAAAACTCAAAATACGATTGGACAAACAAAAAAAAAACAAAAAAAAAAAAGCCATGTGCACAGAGATAACGGGCTTACATTTCGCTTTCGGATTGTCTCTGCACAGGTACCAATCCATTATGCGTATAATTGTGATATCAGTGTTACCATTCGCCAGTATCATTCTATTGTCCACCATGGTTGGCTATCGCTGTGTTCTGCAGAACAATACTCGCAGTCTTTTTCTTTGTTATGTTTTTGTGGGATGTTTGACAGGTTTTATACCGCCAATTGAACACGCGCGAAGTCTGCGTCAGAATGGTTCCCAAAAGCCTCAACCCGAGGTCAAGAAGAAGCACATTTACGCCTAGAAAATAGAAAATGTGTGGATTTTTCATTCGATGTACAGGTACACCCCCAAAACGCAACACAAGTCCATTGAAAACCGGCCTGTCGCCCTTGAAGTGGTAAAACAAAATACACTTTGACATTTAGTTTCATGAAAACTCGCAAAGGCACAATTTCTTCACTAATGCTCCTGATAATACTAAGACAGTAAAATATGTTACTGGTACTATGTTTTAATGCAAATATCTAGATAGCCCGAATAAGACAGGACAAAAGCGTAAAACAGGACACGCATTCACTTTTAACTATATTCGAAAGAAGGCAGGCACGTAGACTGTTTTCTTTTTGTTTTTAGAGCGCAGCTCTTAGGCGCCCCTTTCCGGCTTGAGCGGCGTCGCCGCCGCCCTCAGCGTGGCCGCACGTTGCATTATGGGACTTTCTCATAATGATGTCGCACATGACGTCACGAAGGTCACGATGAAGGTCATGACCTTCACAGTGACCTTCACAGTGACCTTCACTCGAGAAGGACGTCAGTCGTGACACCAGTGGTGTCACGAGTGACGTCAGCAGGGGGAGGGAGGGAGAGAGGATGGAGGAGGAGAGAGGGAGGAGGAGGAGGGGAGAAGGAGAGAGTACGGAGGAGCAAGAGCGCATCCCCTCCTCTCCGCACCCTCCCCTCCTCCTCCAGAGAGTTGCGCTCTAATTCGGCATTACAGGGAATTATTAACGTCTCATCTTTTTAAAACGGGAAATCATTTCTGTGAATAAAAGTCATGAAAATAACTTACATCAAATAGTAAATATTAAATGTAAAAATAATGAAAGATGGTTAGGGGCTTCAGCGAAAAACAGCTAAAGTTTTCAACATTTTTGAGCTGTCATTTTGTACACGTTGTAAGCCTAAAAAAATCTACACGGATTACAATAAGTGAACATGGCACATTGTAAGCCTAAAACAAAGAGGCGTAAGCCAAGAGAAACAACTAAAGAGCCCCATCTTCATTTGTGTGCTTTAATTTAAAATAAAACTAAAACAAAATCTGGTGGAATGGCCTCGCTGATTGCGTAGTCACTGCAGTGAATGTCTTCTGTGCGCTTGTTAATAACAATATAGATATTGCAGAATTGGTTATTGTTAGTTTCGGGTTTTTTTGGTTTTTTGTGTGGTTGGTGTGGTTTCAATTTCATTTGCTGTTATCTCCACAGAGAGTTTTACTTCTCCACCATTTACGATGTAGTGGTTTTGTTTCAACAATAAATAGACCTCCATCTGAAATAGAGCGCAGCTCATGACCTCTAGGCGACTACAATGTCGCTGAAAAAATCTGTCTGCCCGGACAAAGCTACTTTTCTCAGTGGCATACCAGTCACGTAGGGGGCTCGAGTTGCCCTCAGCCTCAAGTGGATGCTAATTTATTTTTGAGTATATCCTCTAAAGCCTGAAAAGTTTGCCTAAATTATTAACGTCTTTCCTAAAGTAATGTTTTATAGGTCATGTGAAGAATAAACAAACAAAAAGTTACTGTGTCATGTTAACAGCAACAAGGATAAAAAGCTGCTAATCATCTAGATTTCAAAGACAAATTTGTTAATAAAATATCAGCAAAAACAGCTAAAGCTGGTATCTAAACTTTGCAAGAAAAGACAGAAAAAATGTACACTATATACACCGTGTCACTAGTTGCGTGCTGAACAGGCGAAGGCAACGCCAGGCGACGGGAGAAAGGGCATGCACTTGGAGAGGAGAGCAACCTTTTCTCTTCTTGAACGTTCCTCCACTCGCCCTCCTCTCCCGTATAGCCTTCCTAGTGCTCGCCCTTTCTTTCTTCCCCTGGCCGTTGCCTTCGCCTGCGCTGCACAAAACTAGCGACACGGAGTATAAGTACTTTGATAAACGTTTGATAGAGAACATTGGCGAAATCGTTATTTCATGGAGACAGCATACTCCAAACAGCCTCGATCTATTCAAATGTGATCTCTCAAATAGGATATGGGAACTGTAACAAACGGTCACCAGACGTTCTACTAATTGTAAACCCTTCGACATTCTAAAACACATTGTTAGGGTCAAAGAAACTTGCAGTCTCATTTCGCAAATGCTTTGTCGTTTTTCAGCTCGAAGACACAATGGAGTCCTTGATGTTGCATCGCTTTTACGCCTACGGATTACTCTGTCGCATAGGAGGCTGCTTCTTCATTCAAAATTTTAACAGACATTCCCTGGACAAAGCCAGGATTGCGTGGAAAAGTCTGTACACGCTCTACTCAGCTTTGTGCGTTCTCTTCAGCTTCGGTTTTTTCATCTGGTTTGATGTTGCGTTTATTATAAGAGAGGCGAGCACAGCCTATGGTCTTTCCGGTTTGTTCTCAGAAACTCTCTCCCTGACACTTCACGCGGTGGTAAGCTCCAGGATATTAATAAATTTTTCATTGATGATCGCCGGTTCGGGGAAGCTGCTCGACTTCTTCAGGAGGGCAGTCATCTTCGAGCAGACCACGGGATTCGAGCCTGCGAAGTGTTGCGCTCTACTTTCACGAAAGCCTGGTTGGTCTCTTCTGCGAAGAACTCTGGTCGTCGTGACACTGGCGACCTCTTACGTTCTGC